TCATCTCCACCAACACCCACATCTCCGACAGCCTCCACCACAACCGCCAGTCCCTCTATCGCTGCCATCCCCCTCCATCGCAGATCTGGAAGAAATCAAAGGCATACGAAGAAAGGAAGAAGAAGGAGAAGAAGCGGAAGGTGAATCTGTCACAGATTCGTTTAGATCTAGAAGAAAAATGGAGGAAAAGAAGAAGAAGAAGAAGATGGTGATGAGAAGAAGAAGAGGAGGATCCGTGTGGATCGGAGAAAGAGCAGGGGAAGAAGAAGAAGAAGAAGAAGAAGAAGAAGAAGAAGAAAAAGAAAAAGGAGGAGAAGGATCGGTGAAAGAGAGAAGAAAAAGAATGAAGAAACCAGGGAAAAAGAGAAAGTATGGAAAGAATGGAAGAGGAAAATAAGAAAAAGATAGGAGAAAGTAGTCAACGGAAGGAAAGAATGGAAGAAAGAAAAGAGAAAGAAGGAAGAGGAAGAGGGTAGTATTGGAAGAATGGTAAAAAATAAGTAGAATGGGAACATCATTCCCGGACGAAAAAAAACGTAGAGCGGGAACATCATTCCCGGACGGAGGGAGTAAGTATTTATTACAGAGTAAAAGAGTATTTTTTTTGAAATAATATGATATTCATTTTTAATTAATGTAATGCTCATCTTGAAACAATGTAGTGTTTATTGTCACGAATAGTCAAATAACATATTATTCATTCTCAAACAATGTATTACTCATTATAAAGAAACGTAGTATTCATTCTGAAACAACATACCGTTCATAACACTCCAACAAGTCGTTGGAGCCTGAATTCTACAGCCCCTCCTTAATCTACAATTTTTGTCATCGGCATTCTTTCTTCTTCGTAGAAGGCCCGACCCGAACGCAATTAGAGCAGTGCCGGCTATAAATCATCCATTGACATGGCGTTCATCGCTGATCGAACTAGAGTTTCTTCCCCATCGACTCCATTCCTAGTCGTCGGTGCTACATCATTCCCTCGGCGCAAACGCTTTCTTCCTTGCTACCACTAATTTCTCTCAAATTAGACGTCAATAGTATGGGAAGAACTGTATAGCCGGTTGGATAATATATACTGCATGCTTAAACAGGTTGGTTCTAGGGCTGTAAATGGATAACAAAAAATTTGATTACTGTCTGCATCTGTATCCATTTATAGTAAAATAATATGCATCCGTTTAAAGCGGTTATTATCCGTACCCGATTAAAGACATCAAATTGGTAAACGGATACGAATTTGGAAATCATACTTTCAAACCGTCTATAATCTCCTCCGCATATACATTCGTTGAGTAATTATTTATTCGTGTATCCGATCCGTTATATAGTGTCTTTTTTAAATTTTTATTTTATTATTTTGTTTTTTAACATCTTAAAGTATACATCTTTATGTCTAAAATATATGTGTAGACACATGAACATGTGTGTATGTGTAGTATGTAATACTTTTTACCATGTAGAGTTTCGTAGAACCTTAAAGATTACTAAATATGAGAAAAATACTATTCCATAACGAATTATAATTGAATGAATATATCAAAATTACATATATATACTACTATGTACATAGTTTAATTTGACTTTGTAAATTTAGAAATGGATACAGATATATCTGATATCCGACCGATATCTGACGAATGCGGATACGGTTTTGATTTTTAGCATCCGTCAAGATTCGTATCTGAATTTGATACCCAATAAAAATAAGCGGATAAGAAATTGGTAATGGCACATCTAATCCAATTAACATCCATTTACACCCATAGTTCGTACAACATATTGGGGGTTTTGAAAAAAAATATAGAAGTACACCAGGTTTTATCCCATGTCGTAGTCGAGTTAAGTTTTTAGTAACACTTAAAAATCTATAGTGAAGAGGGTGTCGAGACACATTACGATAAAACTTGGTGTACCTGAAGTATTTTTGAAAAAACAATGAGCATGAGTAAATAACGGGCTTATTTACATTCGACATACCCAACTCATGTTGTAACAAAAAAGTATTCTAGCTTTAATATGTAACAAAACAGTACCCTAGTTTTAGATTTTTAACAAAAAGATATCCTCAAGAGGTCTCTAGGTCACCAACACGTGACAAATACTCTGGTACTAGACTAATATTTGATTGTTGTAAACTGAGTACTTTATTCATCATAGGTCGTAGTATTTATACATACGCAGGAAAAGGTAAAGTCTAGATAAACAAGGAAACAAGATATTCTAAATAATAAGAGTAGTATATCTACCATATTTAACACTCCCCTCTTCGATATATCATCCTTCATTATACACTAACAACATTATGCTACTGAATAATGTTGGCTAGATTCTTCAGGACCTATATTAACCGATACTGTAGGATCAATTATGATGCCTCATTAAAATCCTTACTAAGAAAACATAGTGAGACAAAACTTAGTCAAGGGAAAAAAAGTACATCGTTTTATAATGCTCCCCCTCAAACTAATTTATCTCCTTTAGTCTGCAGAGTCCAATCTTCTTTATGAGTTGCTCAAAACTATGTCTGGGAAGAGATTTGGTGAACAAGTCTTCCAAATTTTCACATGATTTGACTTGAAGAATATCGATCTTTCCTTTTTCTACGGGCTATATGTTGAGAAAAAACTTTGGTGAGATGTGCTTCGTTCTGCCTCCCTTGATGTAACCTTCCCTGATCCGAGTTATGCATGTTGCATTGTCTTCATATATAATTATAGGATTCTTCTTTATTTGTTCCAATCTGCACACTCCTTATATATTATCAATCATCGATCTCAACCAGATGCACTCTTGACCATTTTCATAAAGTCTTACCAATCCAGCTTGATTTGATAATGTTACTGTTAGAGTTTGCTTGGTTGACTTCTAGAAAATTGTTGTACCACCGTATGTAAACACGTAACCTGTTTGAGAACGTGCATTGTGTGGATCTGATAGATCTCCAGGATTAGCATACCCTACAATTCAAGTTAGGACTTTTCATCTTTTTGGCAGAAGAGACCTAAGTCTCGTGTCGCACAAATATATCAAAATACTTGCTCTATCCCATTCCAATATCTACGTGTTGGGTTTGAACTGAATCTTGCTAATAGACGTACTGAGAATGCAATGTCAGGCCATGTACTTCTTCATCCTCTTCTTGGGGGCGATAAGGATCTTTATGTATATCTAAGGATCGCACAACCATGAGTATGCTCAACAGATGTTCTTTGTCCATAATAAAACGTACTAACGTCTTCTGGATGTAGTCTGACTGATGGACGAATATGCCATTTTGCAAATGTTCGAATTGCAAACCGAGACATAATTTTGTTGTGCCAAGGTCTTTCATCTCAAATTCTCTCTTCAAGAGCTCAGCAGTACTTCAATCTCTTTAGGAGATCCAATGATGTTTATATTGTCAACATAAACTTCTACAATAGTGAATTTGAAGAGTGATCTTTGTATAAAAATGCATGGGCTAATTACATCAAATTTAAAGCCATGCCTTTCAAGATATTCACTAAGTCAATTGTACCACGTACGACGAGATTGCTTGAGACCATATAAAGATCTTTTGAGTTATATAGTACACATGTCTGGAGGTACTGATTTTAATGATTTTGGCATTTTGAATCCTTTAGGGATTTTTATATAGATGTTATTTTTAAGTGTCTCATATAAGTATGTTGTGACAATATCCATAAGTTTTATCTGATGTCCTTCTAAGATTGCGAAGCCGATTAAGAATTGAAGCGTTACTGCATCCACTACAGGGGAATACATTTCCTCATAACCAACTCTTGAGATTTGGGGAAATCCTTTTGCTACAACTCATGCTGATAACATGTTGTAAATTGAGTACTTTATTCATTATAGGTTGAGGTATTTATGCATACACGGGAAGAGGTAACGTTTAGGTACACAAGGAAACAAGATATTCTAAATAATAAGAGTAATATATCTACCATATTTAACATTTATCTTTTTATGTTTTTACCACATTAATGTTTTACTTTTTTAGTTATACCCAATATAGTTATACTTTTATCTAATTTTTTTCTTTTTTATAACATCCTTCAAAGCTACGTTAATCAATATTTTATTTTCATTCAGTTTTTGATTATTGTATGCATTTCCTCTGCTCCAAATTAAGTTTCTTACTTAGAATAAATTTTTAAAGTATTGGGCCATAAGAACTTGCAAACCATTCTCATTATGTCTCGAGATCCCATGCTCATCTTGCGACTGCATAAACCCATTTTTTTTGTCTTACGTTGTCTTGATGCTGAAAGATGAAAGTACTGTATATTCAAGTCCCCATTATTTAACTAGTGTTTCTTTGCTCTCTATTTTGAATATATATCTTGTTTATCTAAGACTTGATTATACGCCTATTGCACACACCGGTAGAAGTACAAATGCTTTGGGACTCTTCTATTCTGATAATGCCCCATCTACGCTTTGCTATCCCAGATCTTATCTTTAAAAACACTTTTATTTCTTTTCCCCCACATATGGGGAAACTCTCCACATCGAGCTATTCTCTACAAAATAACCATTCCCATATCCAATGACCAGACATCCTTGGCTGCTTGTATCATGTCGATCTATTTTAGCAATGCGTTTTGTGTTGGATATATGAGCCCTAGAGGCCAATTTATGAATCAGTATCTAAATATTTATCAAGAATAAAAGGCCTTAAAGATTGTTTATACATCTCGTGTATCTAAACATGGCTTTAGTCCATAAACTTAGCACTCTGGTAGCATAGATTAGAACTATGATAATTTGATTATGAGGCTGTTACACTAATAGAGGCTATGTCGAAAATGTCCTTAGTCGAATATTATGATAATACGGACGTCATAATATACTAAGACTTATACGTATGAGACAAGATAGATGGGTCTCATAGGCTATGGATATTGTGATATCTTAATCTATACGTAGGTACATATATGGGATATGGTACTGGACTAACCCACGTACCATGAGAATGTTACATGGGTATTATTTTAAATGTGTTAGTAGTATTCTCATGTGACCATTGGTATAACTATCCTTAGACTTGAGGTCATTGTGATCTTTAATATGTTGACCTATATGATTTGATTCATATCTAGTCCATCTGAAATACTGGTGGACGTACAGTTATGTTTTGGGAATATAGTTAAACATATGTAAAGACATGAATGACTTAGAAAGTCTCTTCCATTGTGATGAAGTGTAATGTCTTTGGGCATGCTAATTGATATGACTTGGGAAGGGTATGGCCATACCCAGGTAAATTAATATATGTGATATTAATGTTATTTTAATGCCATAAGTCAATATGTGAATTAACAAACCAATAATTTAACTCTAACAAGGTTATACTTCTCATACCTTGTGTTAAATCTAGACATTAATGATAAAGAGATAAGAGTTATACAAATGTAATGTGTCGTTGGAGGTATTGTTGCAATGAACTTTATGTTTATAACATGGGTAGCGATAGTGTCTTGCTAGATACCGCTTATCATTTATAGTGTTAATTATGATGAATACCTAGAAGGGTCACACTGTAACACCCTAATCCGTCCAGGTCTGCAGTCCCTTCCAGACTAAAGTATTAACATGGTAATCGTAAAAATTTAAAACATTTAAAACACTTTTATTTATCACAATAATATTTTTCACCACATAAACATTACAGAATTTTCAAATTGTAGAAGCTTAACAATTCATAATCACAAAACATAATTAATTTATTTCCTTCAATTCTAAACCATCACATCCATCCCGACCATCTTGCCTCCGTCTTCCTCCAAGATCACGTCACATTCTTCTTTCTATTTACCTGTGTGTAGCAAATAAGACATACTACAGACTCAGTATTAAAGCTGAGTAACTAATGCATCGAACATCCATATAAATTTAATCTCAATTCATAATTAAATAATTTGATATCATGCACATAATGTTCAATTCAAATATTCATCATTCATGACTTTGATAATATTCAGTCCATATCAATACATGTTATTCAGTTCAGATATTCAATATTCATTATTTCGACAGTGCTCTTAAATTATTCTTAATTTAAGGCCAATGATAATAACGCTCTTAGCTATTCTTAGTCTACGGCCAGATCATAATAACAACGTTCTTAAACTATTCTTAGTCTAAGGTCAAATTATATTTCCATAACTAGACTCTCAAACAATGGTTAGTTTAAGGCTGTTTCATATCATTAACTAGACTCTTAAACTATGGCTAGTTTAAGGCTATTTTATTTGAATAACAAGACTCTTAAATTGTGATTCCTAAAAATAAATCTGATAGCCACACTCTTAAACTGCAATTAGTTTAAGGCTAATAAACCTAGACTCTTAAACTGTAGTTAGCTTAAGGAAACAACAGAATAACGATTAATCATCGTCGAGTCGGGTGGTATTTTATAACAAGTGATCCTCTAGTTTGGTCTACGAATCCCGTTCGTACATTTTCATCCAATTCACCGAATATACATTTTTACACAAGTCCATTCTAACCTGAGGTCTATCTTAGATGTCTTCTAGATAGCCCTAACAATATTCGTCATTTTCTTACTCTACACACTTTGAATCATGGTTCATTAATTTATAATAATCATTTAAATTAGGATAATTGGACGAACATATTTATTCACAATTTTATTCTTATTTATTTAATACCATATTTTAGTATTTTGTCAGAATAAGATCATTATCATTATATAATCATAATCACACAGGTCATCCATTTAATCGTCATAATCAATATTTAATAGAAATTGTTATCAATGATGTTTCATTATGGTTTATCCATCATACTAATCACTCGATCAAAATATTCATCAAGGTTTGATCATAATCGATATTCAATAATAGTCATCATAATAATTATTAACAAATAGCATCCTAGCGTCGAGTGTTAATACCCTAGCTTACCGTCATGCATCACGTAAGGTTCTTGGATTGGTCAAAACATCATTTTATTTCCATAAATCGTATTTATATTGATCATAATTGATTGGTTTCAATATAGGATTTTATAGCTCCAAAAATAGCATTTCTAGACTGAAAAATGTTTGGATCGATCCACCACATGTGACCGATCACCCGAAGGATTTTTCCGTTTATTGTTCGTCGTCTCCTACCTTCGGCCACTTTTCGGAAATATCATTTTTAGTCACCAAACTTCAATTAAACTATATAGAAATATTCTCCAAGGTTCATAGATCATTTTGGTATCATTAGTTCGTAGTTTTAACAACAATTTCAAGGTTTATGATTCTTGGTTCTTTAAACATGTCAATTACAAAACTCAACCAAACGACCGTTTATGAACGTAGAAACAATCTATACGAACATTCTAATCACTAGATATATGTACGGGCTTACTTCAGAGCTTAACGATGATTCTGGTGATTGAACGACGAAACTTTTGGCGAACACTATGGCTTGCTCCGGCGACTTCTCGCCAAATTGACAGCACCACTGTGTTCTCCACACTGATAGCTACCTCTTGGAATTTATTTGAAGGAAAATGTTGAAGAAATGGGAGAGAGGGGTCTCCCTTATAAAGTGAGAAGGAGGAAGAAGAAGACATAGGCTGACTTAGTATTCCTCTTTCACGATCTTCCTTTGGCAGTAATGCGATATTAAGTGAGTCAACACTTTACTCCCTGATTGGGACTAATTTGGTTCCAATCGGGGTACACTTTTTGGTCCAAATTTCTCTGAATTGAAAAACCTATTTGTAGCATTGCAATCAGACAGTTAAAATCTATCCAACCATATAATTTTTATATTTATTTGTAATACTTTTTCCGACATCATATTTTTGGGGGTTTGACTTTGATAGAGTCAAAATTGATTTAAATTAACCTTTATCCTAAAAGGTTCTCACATTAAATTAACCTTTAACAATTCCACTGACCAAGGCTTTGGGAAGGCCTAAACACGATGGTTATACTTTGTCAATGAGCATTTGTGAAATGCATAATTGGCCTTAGTGCTAATGGGAGATTGTTGGATTAGATAGGAGCACCTAGAGTGCTAGGATTAGAGTACTTAAGTACGCGATTTGGACTTAGTGGTAGTTTCTCCACTTGTGTGCTTTGTTTGCTTATAGGCTTGGTGCTCTTTGATTGTATTTTTGTTCTGTTTAATTAGTTTGTTCTAGGCCTTTGTGTGCTTTTTGTTATCTATGTTATATATGTCTTTGTGATGTCATTTTTATCTTTGATGTTTGAGTCGAGGGTCTCTTGCAAATAGCTTGTACTCTTGAGTAGGGGCAAAGTCTGCGCACATATTCCCTCTTCAGGCTCTACTCTCGTGGGATCCAACTAGATTGGTATTCTTATTGTTGTTGTTGTTGTTTACTTTCCTCCGTCACAAAAGAAAAGAGTCCTCTCTTCCCCATCGCAACACCCTTGGGTTTAGAAAGACATATTGACTCCATGTTGTAGCTTTAAATGAATGATGAGACAAATGTTAGTAATAATTTTGAGCAAAACAACAAGTAAAGCGTAGCATACAAATTGCACAAGTAAATTTGATTAAGGTTAAAACGATCTCGTGAAAATCATAATTACATACAAATCAACTTTATACTTGTTTAATATATATTATAATGGCAAGGCAATTTAGAAATTAGCATGCCTTTGTAGGATTCACATTCACCATGACATTTTATCAAGTATGCTTTTTACAATTGGTGCTTCTCCCTTTTAAATTGTAGAAGAGAAGCATACAGTAATCCTGAAGAAGTGTTTGAAACAATTGAAATATACAGTAAAAAAGCTTTAATTCTGTCTTTAAACAACATACATTAATATTCAAGAGCCTTTTTTCTATACCATGACTTGTAAGTATAAAGAATGGTCATCATCATCCTGATCATTGCCCATATGAAGGCCATGCTTTCCCATTGGAATTCTTCGAACCCTGAATTCATCAACAACACTCAGATGCTTGCATACATTGATAGAGAGCATAACCCTTTTTTGAGCTCCAGCCATGACATGAACTTTTTCAAATGCCACCAAGTGCTTAGTGGGGAGGACAATGTTAGAAGTGTTATTGGGTGGGGAAGAAAAGACTAGAACTGTATGAGTTCCATCCATTTCCCCTATGTTCTTCACATCAATATGTAGATCTATGTTGAGGGAGTCACAGTTTGTGTGGGAAACCTTAATACCCAGGTTCGACGAAGAAGACATTGTCGTCATATTGTTGTTATTGTCAAGTGAAGAGGTTTTTGAAGAAGATAAAAGGGGTAGGGAAAAGGTGGATGGGGCCTGTGCTAAGCTCTGCTTAAATCTGGTGTAGCTATGTCCAGCTCCAAATGGGAAAACCACTTTGCCTTTGTAGAACCTATATGTTCTCCCAGGGTACCCTCCTGATGAAGCTCTCATTTCCATGTTTGTCATTGGCACCTTATCTACATATTCTTGTGGGTACCATGTCATTGGTAGCTTTCCACCTATGATCACAAGCACATACATACCCAAACGAAAATTAGCTCGTTTTGTAATAATTGATAGAGTAGAGAACGTCTATGTATGTAGGATACACCTAACAACTAAAGGGTATCAAACTCAAGGAAGAGTACAAAATGATCAAGATTAATGGCCTAGTTTCATAGAAGAGGTAGCGGGTCTTAGTCTGGAGGTCTGTCAAACCAAGCATGCTAGTAGATTGACCATAACATTTAGCAATGGGGTCTAGAGCCCCTGAGATGATAGCTATGTAGGCCAATCCAACATGTAGGGTTGGCGCGGTAGCTTAGATGTTGGGCTCCAAAAGAAGGGAGAATCACTTTTTTTCTTTTCCTTTTGAATTCTACGAACCCCGTGTTCTCATGCTAATCGGGCTCCTAGAACCCATCAAAATACCTTATTGACCTAAAAAGGTCATGAGTTCAATACTCACAAGCCCTAATTTAATTTAAGCACAAGATGTACTAAGAGGAGGGAAACCAAATTTCTCTGTGACTCGGTGAGGAAAATGTGAGAACCATTTTCCTTTTTTTCATCTAAATTTTCTGAAACCAAACATAGTGTAAATCTCATGAATTCAATACTCACTAACCCTAATTTGATTTATGCACAAGAAATGGAGGGACTTTTAGATTTGCTTCCTCTATAATAATGGCGTCCTCAATTAATTTGAGGGAGAAGAAAATTTCATCAATAGAAAAGGGAGTATTATTATTATTATTATTATTATAGAGACAAACCAGGATTAATGGCTCCAAACAAGATATCAGCAATGGCAGCGCCGCCGGCTTGGCCTGGATAGCCAGCCCACAAAATGGCAGAAACCCTAGGATCATCGCGAGCAAAAGAGACGTCGATGGGACCACCGGACATCAGTACTAACACGGTTGGTCCTCTAGAGGCCTTAGCGACTCTGGACACGAGCTCTTGTTGGAGCCCTGGCAAAAGGAGGCTCTCGCGATCTTTGGCTTCCCTCTCGATGGACTGGTCCAGCCCCGCCACGATGACTGTGGCATCTGAGTGGCGCGCGGCGATCTCTGCCAGTCCAAAGTTTTGATTGCTGGTGCACGCGACGCCGCCCACGCAGCCCGGCTGGTGAACCACTTTGGAGTATCTTGTTATTCCTTGCACCGGCGTTGTGTACCCACATGGAACACCTACATCAAAAATAAAAAATTAAGAGTAAATTTCATAATTGGTCCTTAATAAAAAGGGGGTTTCCATATTTAGTCCTTTATTATCAAATATTACTCCTGTAGTCCTTTTTTTAAAGGTACCTTTCTACAAATGGTCCTTTTTTTATCTTCTGCCGTGTTGGTGTTAATTTAAAAGCTAAAAATATAATTTGACATCAACATTATGTCTAGAGACGTGTTCTGATATTGGTTAAGTGGATAACACAAAAATAATGACTATGATTGTGGGCTAGGATTCTGACGAAAGATCACATTTGTAGACTATCGTTGTCGTAAAAAGCGACTGTAATTCACAAACGACGCAAACGGAACAGCCTTTGGAATTGTGTATGACAAAAAAAATATTATCATTGTGAAATTACACTTTTAGCTCTCAAATTAACACCAACATGATAGAAGATCAAAAAAGGACTATTTGTGGAAAGGTACCCATAAAAGAAGGACCACTGGAGTAATATTTGATAATAGAGGACTAAATAGGGAAACTATCCTGTTATAAAGGACTAATTATAGAATTTACTCAAAAATTAATGACATTTTTGTATGTTTGCAAAAGAGATAATACATTCTAATTAAGTATTACTACCTTCGTCTCTTAAAAAATTTTTAAGGTTTATTTTTTTGCATATTCTAAAGTACATCTCTGTACATATTTATAATGTCTAAAGTTTACCATATTTATCTTTTATTATGGCTATAAATTATTTTAGAGTGATACTTTAAATATTTTAAATGGTATAGAAGCATTTGATAGGGTGCGCATTTATACTAAAGTGATGTTATAATAAAATAAACTCATTTATATTTCAAATAATGTCTTAAAATAAACCCATTTATAGTAAAGTGATGTTATAGTAAAATATACTTCCTACCATTTGACCAAGAAAAAACAAACACATAGATTAGTAATAGGTGTGGCAAAAAAAGATCCGAACTATCTTTGACCTGAAACCCAATCTGAAAAATATTGGGTTTTGAATAAAAGTTTTGATGACCGAATCTGAAGTTGACCCAACTCAAAATGACCACTAAAAATGGGTCAAACCCGACCGAACTCGAATCCGACCTGACTGACCCGCGAAATTAAGAGTTTTTCAAATTCATACACTTTACTACTCGTTTTTAATGTATAAATTTATATTTTCAGATAAAATTTTAATGATATTGCATACGTATCTTACTTTTTCTAAAACTTAAGCATTTTTAAAATTCCTTATATTGATTTATATATCTAAAAATATTTTTAGAATGTAAAATAGAACAATCTAATAGATGTAATACATTTTTTTGATTTTTTTAAATTTATTTAATATAAAACATAAGTGTTAATGTGAATTTAAAAATTTAAAAAACCAAAGTCATAACCCGTAGGGTCGACCTGAAAGCGATGACATTGAGTCATGAATATATACAGTTCTCAACTCAAATCCGAATTGATCGGAACCCGAAATAACCCGAACTCGAAGTGACCAAACACGACCTGACCGACCTATTTGCTAGCTCTAATTAGTAGTAATATTTATCATGTAAGATCACATAGGAGACCCTATAATAAGCAAAGTGAATAATTTGAGTTACATTGTAGAAATGGTTTCTAGTTTAATCATCTCACAAAAATTTTAATTTTAGGTCACTTATTTAAGGAATGTGGCGGTAGAGAATGTATTATTTAATATTCTCACTTTACAAGGAGAAATATCTCACTTTTTAAATCATTTTATTTACAAATCACTATATTGATAAGAAATAAAAATTACGTATTAAAAAATTACGTCAAAAGTTCTACAAAATAAGATATGACAAGAATATTTTATTTTTTCAAATACTTAATGAAATCGCATAAAGACGAGAGGAGAGAAAAATTTATAATCAAATTGAGGAAGAAGGGAGTATTTTACCAGCATAATTGCCAATCATAGTAACAGTGGCATCCGCATTCGGCCCAATTACTGCAATGGTTCGGTGACGCTGGGGAGATAATGGCAAAGACCGTCCAGTATTCTTAAGCAGAACTATGCCTTCTTGGGCGGCTTGCAGGGCCAATTGTTGATGGGCTGAACTACACACATCCTTTGGGCCCAAGTAACTGTAGGGCTGTTTAGCTCCGTCAAATAGGCCCAATCTCATCTGGACCGTTATTGTGTTAGATAAGGCATTGTTGACGTCAGCTTCGCTGAGTTTTCCGGCCCGAATGGCTTCCTCTGTGTGGACTGCTAAGAAAGGCCCACAGTCCAAATCCAAGCCTGTGAAATCACAAAAAAAAAAAAAATCATTTTTGCACATAAATTATGTGACTTGTACTAACATTTTCCTATTTTTCTTATGCACAATTTGGTAGTATTCTATACTTGATACGTCTTTGAAAGAATTTTGAATTTACACAAATTAAAAAGTCGGTGTTTCATTGAAATTTATTTAAAAGAGAGACAATGAAAGATACCCACATATTTGTTTTCTCAAAGTGAAAGCCAAAATAAAAATTGTAAAACGGTTTCAAAGACGAATGGATGGAGTGCTTTTTTGCAAATTTTTTCTGGAACTTTGTGAAATGAATATGTGAATTTCATTGTATGAATATGACATTGTGAACTAATTAAGTCAAAGAATTGGAACATATCAAAACATGAGAACCTAATTGAGGGATTGAGATCGAAAGGATAATGTTTACCGGCTTTGATAGTAGCAGCAACTGTATCTTCAGGTTTGGTTGTGAAGTGTTGTTGGTCAAACATCACACCAACAGAGTCGCAATCGGAAACTATGTATCTGCATTATTATAATGATACTTTATATTTAAAAATGTTTGTGGCATCTTATAAATATAAAATTTTTTATAAACTTGTACTCGATCAGTCTTAGTTTACTGTGTCTAGTTTAATTTTGCATCATTGCAAATAAGGAATAAAATGAAGGTGTATAAATTTTTATTAAATATGGCCGGGATTCACAAAACTAATCACTTTGTGAGAGAATCATTTGTTTTGATGTAATAGTATAATATTTTTGGGCCATGGTACCATAACACTAAAAATAACATCATCCACATTACACGGAGTATTAAATACTCCCTCCGCCGCTAAAAACATGGTAGATTTGGATTTTTAAAGGATTAAAGGAGAATGTATTTTGGTATTGAATTTCCAAAAATATCCTTTGATGTGATGGATAAAAGTAGAATTTGATTGGTAGATTAATAATGAATATATGTGATGCGATAGGTAGGTTAAGAATTAGTACGGATAAAAGTGATTTTTTTAAAAGAAATGAGAAAAGTTTTTTTGGGACGGATGAAAAAAGAAATAAGAAAGCTTTTCAGGGACGGAGGGAGCATTACTCTATATTAGTGTGGCTTCGTTTGGCGTCAGCGTTAGAGGTTAGCGTTAGCGTTTTGAAAACGCTATCCGACGATAGCCTTTAGCGTTATCGTATTTATTATTATTAGTCTACAACATCAAAATTTTATTCAAATGCTAACGCTAATCGAAAACGCTGTTTCCAACAAAACTAATGATCCATCATCAAAAAATATTGTCAATGTGAAAAACTTTCTTATAGTGTCAACTTGAGTGTGTTAAGGGGAGATCAAACATTTGACACCAAATGCACATCAAGATGCATATACACGCGAACACAATCAATGTCTGAGTACACATATGCATTGAGTTTGTAAATCTTTACCATCATGTAATATGAAAAATTAATTTTGTATTGCACTATTTTACTTACAAACATGTCTTTAATTTTGATATAGCTATTTTTAGTTCATTATGTTAAAAAGTTATTAAAATGAAAAGTAGAAAAATAATTTGGAACAAAAGGATATACTCCCTCCGTTCTAAAATTAACTTTCCAGTTTGACTTTTGTAGTCAAATATTTTAAACTTTGACCGTATATTACGGAAAAATACATTTAATTTTCATATAAATTTATTAGCAATAGATTTATTTTGAAACATAGTTTTGAAATATATAATTTTTATAAAATATATTTATATAAAAATTGAGATATTAATGGTCAAAGTGTCGCATTGGAGACCGTGAAAAGTCAAATGAGAAGTTAATTTTAGGACGGAGGGAGTATCAAATATGTAATCAACATGCACTCAAAAAAAAATTTATGTAATCAACATACCCATTGAGGCGCCATTGACCACGGATGGTACCACGCAAGAGATTAGGGTCAGCACAAGTGGGCTTGCCATTAACTTTATTGTAGGAGCACATCACACTCGCCACCTTCCCTTCCACTACACACGCTTTGAAGGGCACATTATAGGTGTCCTCCATGTCTTGGGCACTTACCTTAATTAATATGCACATGCACCCAAGAAGTTAAAAATGAGATAACACGAGACATAAAAAAAATTAATTCTCAAGTATTTTTAATAGCATTGAAAAAGATACTTCATCCGTTCTCAAAAACATTTCCTCTTTTATTTTTTTTTTCATTTCCAATAAAACACTTCCACTTTCTATTAAAAAACCACTTTTACCCTTATTTTTCATACCTTACCTATCACATCATACTTTTTCTCTAATAATCTACCTATCACATCTTACTTTTACCCATCACACCAAGAGCAAAATTGGAAGTCAACTACAACTTAACACTTCTTTATTTTTCTACTTTTTCAAAGTAGAAACTTTTTTTTAGAACGGAATTTGTACATACTTTGGCATCAAAGTGGTAGCGATCAAATCCTTTCCAATCATCAAGGTCATAGGCGGTGTAGTGCTTGCAACAAGCGGCCAATTTGAGGCGATTGGTGTTGTCATCAGCGCCTTGGAGGCCCTTGACGTAGCTCACGGCGTATTGGGCTACCAATTTGGGGTCCTCGCCGGGTGTTTCCTGGCTCCTCCCCCACCTCGGGTCTCTCAATATGTTCACGTTTGGACTCCAAAACGTTAGCCCCGCCGCCCCTCCGTTGTACATTGCTCTTGCTTCGTCCGACACCGCCTGATGAAAGAATACAATTTAGGAGCTGTTTGGCAACTTCTGAATAGGTAAGTGATGAACCAGAGGTAAGAGGTCTGAACCATTAAGTGCTGAACCAGTAAGAAGTCTGAACCATTAAGAGCTAGTATATTGTTTAACTATTCAGAGGCAAATGTCTGATCAATTCAGATAAGAGGTCTTAACCATTCAGACTCTGTATAATACTTAACCATTCAGAGGCAAATGTCTGAGCCATTCAGACATCTGAACCATTAAGAGGCTGAAAGAAACAGTCTGAACCATTAAGTGCTGAATCATTCAGACATCTGAACCATTAAGAGGCTGAAACAAACAGCCCCTAAATCCCATTGTATAATTACATTATATTCAGTTTTGTTAAAGTTTATTAATTAATAAGTAAATCTAAATAAAATTAAAATATCAAACTTATACATGTCGAATATAAAATCTTTCATCTGCTTACAACCAAATGCTTGAACTTTTGGTTGAGTTGACTTGTTTCTTTAAAATAGTCCAGAGTATTGCTGTTCAAGAAGCCAAAGATTCGAAACTCATTGTCACCTTGTTTAGAAATTAATATTCACGTTAAAGGTTGGGGGGGAAAAAATTTCCCTTGCATGTGAGACGACATGGCGCAACATATACTTTTTCGTTTTTTTCTCTTCCACCAAAACACTTCCACTTTCTATTAAAAATTAATTTTACCTCTGTTTTTTCTTAACATATCTGTCTAGCACATTATACTTTTTCACTAATAATCTGTCTAGCACATCTTACTTTTACCCATCATATTAAGGAAAAAAATGAAAAGTCAACTATAGTTTAAGTATTCCTTATTTTGGCCTTTGGTCAAATTAGTAAGTGTTTTCCTAAATATTTTTATCGCAAGCATTGACACTGTGAAACACCATAATTTGGCATTATGTATTTTTATTTTACAATGTTAACATTATGTGTTGGGATTATTTGACATTATCAGTCTTTTTTTGTATGAAAATATTACGCAATCAAATAAGATGGATAAATGTGAAGTTTTTATTACTCCCTCCGTCCCTAAATTGTTTTCGATTTGACTTTTCACAGATTTTAATGCAACACTTGATTATTAATAAATTTCTTGACACTAAAATTATATAACAATTAAATATTTTTCCATAGTCAAATTTATAAATTTAACCACGAAAATTATTGTGAGAAGTTAATTATACATCCGAAACTTCTAAAAAGGGGGTGAAAAGAACTGAAGGATGGATTAATAATATCTTTTGAGTTACAGCCCAATAATTAAACATATTTCTTAAATATGATTAGACCAAATATCTCGTCGCCTAGTTTATGACTTCTATGAGTCTATCCAATTTTTAAGTTTTATATACGGAGGATCAAATATTTTATAGAACAAACAGTTTGACGATTTACGCGGTGACGAGGCCTAGAGTTTATGATAAGATGCACAGCTGGGAAAACGAAATGTGTCTTGTCATCTCTTTAATTATACTCCATCCGTCTCAAATTATTTGTCACATTTCTATTACCGAGGCAAAATATCAAGTTTTTTCAATTCATTTTATTTACATATTGGTAAAGAAATTAAAAAAATAAAATTTACATATCAAAAAACGACATGAAAAGTTCTTCGAAATAAGAGGTGTCAAGAATATTTTATTTTATCAAATAACTAACGAAAACGTAGAAATAAACAAAAGTTCTCGCGACTGTTGAAAAAGTAAATGTGGCAATTAATTTGGGACGGAGGGTGTATACTCCAAATGTACACTCGGTATGTAATAATAGGTGAACATAAGAGCATGAACAATGGCAAGGCATATTCAGAGATGCCACACGTTGACGTGTCACAGTTCAACCAATCGAAAACAGCCTTGTCATGCAGTGGCATGCCAGTGGAGTGACATGCTCTACAATGGCAAGTCATAATTTTTTTCAATGTTTACATTTTTTGACATATTTAATTAGTCCAAGTATATTTATTTTTATTTTTTTGTAATTATATGTAATTTAATTATTCAAAATTATTTTAAATTGTGTAGTCTTGGATATAATGTTAATTTAAAAATATATATTTTTAGCTTTANGTAACTTTTTATATTTTTTAGATATTTATTACTCCGTATTATAAATTAGTTTTCATATATTTGTATCATAAAAATATATCTATAAAAATAACTAAATAAGAAGTACTAGTATTTCTTCTTTTTTTCCAAAAGAAAAAAAAAGAAAAAGAATTGGAGCAAGTAGCCTCGCACATGCCACGGAAAGAGGAGTAAGCAAGTCATGCCTCGCCCAAATCAACCGTGTCAAATCCTATGTGGCATGCGTGGCAGTGGCTTTGACACGCCACTGCCCATGCTCTAATTATCTTTAATATACATCAAAAGAACTGAGTAAATCCGTTTAAAGAATAATTATGTTCTAAATTGGTTTTCAAACGTATCAAAATATTAGAATATAAGGAATTGATATTTTGATAGGTATACAAACTCATTTAGAATATAATTATTCTCTAAGTAAATTTGTTTCTAAAAACACTTCCTATATTGACGTTGTGTGAAAATAAGGGTGAGTTATTTGGAGTTGACTTTCAAATTTCATCTTTGATGTGATGGGTAAAAATAAAATGAGATGTGATGAATAGATTATTAGTAAAAAAAATATGATGTGATAGGTATCATAAGAAAAAGTAGGAGAAAAAAATAGTTTTATAATTGAAAGTAGAAGTGTTTTGAGGAAATAGAAAAAAATAAAAGAGAAAGTATTTTAAGAAACAAAAAGAGTATTAATTAGGGGAATTTATCTAAGTAAGACTAAAACATAATGACCTTCTCAATATAGGAGCATACGTTTTTATTTTTCGATGTAGGATCATTAGTCATTATCTATTAGTCATTATTCAAGTAAATGTCCACCATCACTGGACATTATTCCTACCACTAGACATTATTAAATACGGAGTACTATTTAAGGAATAAAAAAGTTAAAGTCCTACATTGGAAAATAACTTATGTTTTAGTCTTATTTAGTACAAATTTTTCTATTAATTATTGTGAGTTCATAACTTTATTTTTATCCTTCTATCATAAATGTGGGCTGGTGGAGAGAGCTAGACTTTTTTTATTGGGGTTCAATTTCTTTTTTATTTTAAAACGCAGTTTGGTATTAGCGTTAGAGGTTAACGTTTACATTTTGAAAAAGTTATCTGCCGATAGTCTTTAGCGTTGGAATCTTTAGAATCAATCTAAACAATTAAAATTTTATCCAAAACGGTAACGTTTATCGAAACTGTTGTTCTCAATTAAAATTTTACGTAAAATACTAACGCTTTTAAAAAACGGTGTTCCCAAGCAAGGCCCCAAAAGTAAAACTTGTATGGAGTAATATTAATACACCTTCCATAATAAGGTCTTGTTTCGCAGTTTCGGTTCTCTGACATTTGAACGAAATTATTTTTAATTCAAAATATTTGAAAATAATAATTACTTGGTATATACTCCGTATATTAGAAAGGGATAGAATTTGATATACTCTTTCTAGGTTTCTAATATATACCTAGTAATTATTGTTATCAATAGAAATGTAAAAACCCACAGTCTAATCTTGTTATATTAATAAAAAGAACATTTATTTAGGATGGTGAAAACTTTTTTATAAAAAAAGAAAGAAAAATAATTTAAATAATTAGGATGTAATTTGATTACTCCCTCTGTACTTGGAGTTGCGTTGCGGCTACGTTTTTTTCTTCCCCATCACTCATCTCAAATGTCAATCTGTCGCTTCACTCCTACCTAAAAAACTCTCATTTTGTCCTTTGAAAAAAAAAAGGTTGCATGTCTTTGTTAAAAAAAAATACACTACTTCGTAAAAGTTTAAAAGATCCCATTTTGTCGCCTTATACACCTTACACATTTCCAATAAAATTGATTTTTTTATTAGGAATAAGCTATTTGTACCATTTTACCCCATTTTGTATACCGCAAATATGCACCTCCATTATTTGTCAGTTTAATACTAGAGTGATAGTTCTCATAGACACAAAATGTTAGTACAAATTTTCTTAATGCAATATCATTTTGAATCAATATAAACCATCAAAATATTAGTGTATACCTTTGGTGTAACTTTGGGACACTCTTTTTGGTGTAAGTATAGGCATGTAGCATGGTTGTTTTTTTAACTACATTTTTCACAAAGAATCTTCAACTTTGGTCATAAAAAATGCAATAATATTTTCAACCAACACCTTGTTGGCGGTTGGTAAATCACCTTTGAATGTATGGTATTCAGTATTGACCACATTACCACAATGCCACCTTTGAATGTATGGTTTTATGACTTTTTACACTAGACACCACTTGCAGATCTTAATTATGTTGTCATACCGGACACACCGAGAAGTCCCCACAACGAAGTCTGCCTTTCTTGCTCGCTCTAAGCTTCGGCTCCGACACCACATTTTGAGACCACACATATTCTTGCCCCGACATTGATAAGATATTGTTCACTTTGGATCAAGTCTCACAAATATGTTTTGGGCTCTTCCTAAGATGTCTCATAATAATTTAATGAATTGAGTTGAACTAGAGATCAGAGTATTATATTTGGGTTCATTTTTCCCTTCTTCGTCTGATGTGGGAGGCAGTTTGCACTCAAACAAGATATATTTATGTTGATATGATATATACTATCTCCGTCATAGAGTATTAGTCTATCTTGACTCTTTTATAATCAAAATTGATACAATTTGATCAATAATTGAATAAATATTTTTTAGATATTGATACAAGAATAAATTTATTTTATTTATCATGTAAAATATTTTCAAAATATGTTTTTTTCTAATTAATATTATATTCCATGTATTTTTATATAATTATGAATTAAATATCGATATTTGTTGACTGTAAAAAATCAAAACTGGATATATACTCTGTGAGAGATGGAGTATATCAATACTATATCATTATAAAGAAATTTTTTTCTATAAGCGTGTTAATTATTTAATATATACATAATATTTTTTTTAGATTATTGTTTAATGTTTCACTAATAAGCTTTTTAAAACACATTTTAAAAAAGATTGAGTTTATCAAATACGGAGTATACTGCTATTAATTCTCCTTCGCTCCCAAATTAATCTTTCCAAAAACAAACTTCTCATTTTTTTTTGTATTACTCCAAAAAAAAATTCATTTTTTTAAATAAATGGAATAAGCAGTCCACATTAATTAATTCTCTCCCATCATTATAAATCCGAAATGAATACTTTTATTTTTTTCAAACCATGTTGTCAAGTGGACATCATATTAGAGCATGCTACATGTACCCATATTTGTACCCCATTTTATATCCCAAAGCATTACATTGACATTAAATGTAGGTGCAACACTGACATAATACCAGTTTTATACTTACATTTAATATAGGGGTAATGCTTTGGGGTACAAAATGGGGTATAAATATGGGGTAGATGTAGCATTTTTCCATCCTATTATACCAAAGGTATCAATCTATCTATGATGACAAACATGTGTCAGCAAATGCCGTTTTAATATGTTTGTTCAATTTGTTTGTTTTGAGTCAAACTTAATAAATTTTGAACTTTAATTAAATTAAATTCATAGTGTATATTTATATTAATATAAATTTATTATATTTATCTTGTATAAAATATTTAAATTTTTATTTTATTATACTAATATGTAATATAAATTAAGAATAATTGAAGCTTAAAATTTGTCAAGCTTGACTCAGAAAATTCAAACTAAACAAACAAACCGGAACACACCTATTATATGCAAGGCTCAGTCACGTATATAACTAACCTTATCTATTTCTTCTATCTCTCCCCTTCTTAAAATACTCAATAATTTGATTTTTAATTTGTGAACTTTAATATACAACCATATATTTAAGATTAAAGTTGTTGTTACAGCTAGTCTATTTAATTTAGAGAAAAACTGAGAAAATCATGGGATACTAGCTCCTTTTTCTTTTAAAAATAAATAAATAAAATGTGATGTTTATTATAGTTTGGAATATAATGATTGAAAGACAACCAAGACTGAAGAAACATACTCTTTCCGTTCCAAAAAATCTTTCTGATTTTGACTTTTATGAATTTAAATGGAGTAAATTTTGATGTTGACTTTCCAAATATGTCCTTGGATTTGATAGATAAAAGGTGTGATGAATGATAAATAGTGAGAAAGTGTTATGTACGCGATAAGTAGTTTAAAAATTAGTATGGATAAAAGTGAATTTTTAATATAAACGAGAAAGATTTTTTAAGACGGATAAAAAAAGAAAAAAAGAAAGGTTTCTGGGACGGAGGGAATACTTTATTTTGGAGTATTAATCTAATTTCTCTCTTTTGAGTTAGGCACATGTGTGTCTGCATTCATATATATATATCTCCCTCCAAGAGGACTACAACTATATATGTACTCCTTTGGTCTTGAATTAATTGGTACAGTAATTGACTTTACACTATTTTAAGAAAAAACGTTTAAAAAAATGTACTATTAAATTTTAATTTGAAGATCGAAAAACTTTAGACCACGTAATTTTTATTTTATTAGAAAAGTTAAAAAAAATGTGACGATCTTGATAGAATTAACTCAAAAAAAATATGAGTCGATTAATTCGAAATGGAAAGATATATTTAGACCTTAACATTATTTTAATGCATTTTTTCGAGGGTTATGTTAATGAATTAATTTAACCAAAAATTTTAAAATTTTAAAAAATGTTACAATAACGAACTAGCCAGCTAGTGTAAGGAAACGTAGGTCAACCTAGATACCAAAAAAATAGGGGAATTAATGGGCCACTAGTCAGTAGTCACCAAATTCAAAAGAGTGGCCAATGAAGCGATGAGTAGTCACTTACCACTAGGAATGCAGACCAAATTACTCCCTCCCTTATTTATCTTTTATTGTAATAATTTGATTATTAATGTTGATATTTAGTTACTTTTGCTGCTCTCCCCGGCCAATTTGATTATAAAGTAAGGTTTACGGGGAAAAAAATTTCACTTTTTGAAATCATTTTATTTACAAATTGGTATATCAATAAAAAATAAAAATTATATATTAAAAAATTATGTCAAAAGTTCTACTATAAAAGAGGTGAGAAGAAAAATTTTATTTTATCAAATACTTAATGAAATCGCATAAACAAACAAAAACTTATGACAAGAGAGAAAAAAAATTATAATCAAAATGAGTACGGATGAAGTATAAAATAATTTATAAAATTTTAATATTTTAAAACTCTGTATCAAAGAGAACTATTGATATTATATTTTTATCAAAACATAATATATTTTTTTCGTATATCGATTTCAAAAATATAATTACAAACTTTGATTTAAAAGAGTCAAACGAGAAGATTAAATCTGAATGGAAGTGATATTCTTAACAATTTTATGGGTACACCATATTGTATCCCTACACTCTTCCAACTTCCAACAACATAATTCTTTTAATCTATATTTCAGAAAAAAATATGAAACGGAGAGAGAGAGTTTGGGTAACAAATTAAATTGTTATTTTTCATTCCTAGTTTCATGCGCATGCATGTAATTTTAACTTAGTTGCACGTGGCCACTCTTTAAAATATACTCTCTCAGACTCTCAAGAATCTTAAGAATTTGACTCCACATAAATTTAAAAAATGTACCTAGTATTTATTTAAAAAATAAAAAGAATAAAAAACTGTCTGGCTGAAATTATTTAGAAGAGAGATATACGGTAATAATTAAAGGTACCCACATAATTGTGTCCAAAAAAAAATGAAATTGTAGAGGTTTAAAGTTCATTTTTTTAAATATCCTAAAACAAATGTAAAGTTTTTTCAAAGTCAGAAAGAATATTAGTGTACGTACTTCGAATGGAGTATTAATTACGGAATATTTAACATTTTTTTAATTTGAAGCGTATTTAATTATTTAAGATCATGCATGTGTGTCCCACCTCATTGACATTCATAGATGCATATTGAAGCATCTATTAGACTATTACACATTATTGAGCATTTTAGATATATGTCACAACATATTCATAATGATTTTTTAGAATTATAGTTTAATTTATTCATATAGGTCCCATTTATTAATATATGTACATCAACTTACTCGTCCAATGGCTTCCCACAAGGAGGAGTTGAACGCGGCGGCGGTGGTGATGACCTGCGGGAAGCTTGTGGCCCCCGGGAACTTTCCCCCGAAGGTGGTCCCGGGGCCCACATTTGACACCCCGTGTAGCGCCTCGCTCCACCACTCGTAGCGCCTGATGCCCAGCCGCTCCACCGGGGCAGCGTTGTTCACCAGGAGCCTGATCTTCTCCTGCAACGTCAGCCGTCCGATCAGGTCCCTGACCCTGGCCTGTATCTGAAGACTGGTCTGACAAAAGGGCAACGCCTTCGTCGCGCCATTGCTCGGATCGCACGCTAGCGAAGGCGGGTTTTGCGAGGACGATGTTTGCAAATGGATGGTTGAGTAAAGGATGAAGAAGAGCATGAGATGGAGGTGTTTTGTGACATTATTAATATTGAATTTATATCCCATATTAATAACACCAATTGTATGCATGTAATTGTATTTGTTGATCATATCATATGTATCATTGAAGTGTTGAGAGTAGTGAGGAGGGGGGAATTGAAGAGGGTTACTTATATAGAGGCCGGTGAGAGAGCCGTGAAGGGTTGGTTGCGTTTAATTATACATTTGGATATATTTGAATTGGGTAAAGCTATGAATATACCCCTCGGTCCCACCATGCTCTAGGTCCCAAAGTCTTGTTCTCATTTTACCTTATTTACTTCCATTCTAATCAACAATTGTAAATTCTTGAAGTCCTAATGTATGAAGTCTCTTGAAAAAAATTGGTCAAGTGAGGCGTGAAAAGATGATTTTGACAAGCTCGTTAGAAAATATGTCTTCCAAGTCATTTTTTTCATTTTATTCAAGTTTGGTTAAAGACTCAGCCAAAAGAAACGGTTAGAATTTTAATCTAAAAGTATTCTTAAAAGTATAGAACTAATGATGTAATTTTTAAAGTTAGGAGGGAAAAAATTCACTATTTAAAAGTACAGGAACTAACTTATGTTGCACTTTTGAAAGTTCCAAAGAAAATGAACTAATTTGAAACAGTATCATGTCAATATTTCATTTTACTTCACATTCCCTTCTCCTTTCAAGCGTGTGGTTCCCCTTCTCTTTCCCTTCCATTATTTTATTATTTTTTTTAACTCTTAAATCAAATTTGAATTATTTAAACTAAAAACTTAAAACTCAAATATTACAAAAAAATAAATAAAAAGGAAATTAAAAAACGTAAAAAGTACGAATATTTAAAAAAATATTAAAAATTTAAAAACTAAAGATAAAAAAGTAAAGCTTTTTTAAAGAAATATAGATTAAAAAAGAAAAATTTATAAAATTAAAAAGTGAAGATTCAAAAGCAAACACATTAAAAAAAATTAAATAGTACTCCGTAACTTAAAAAACCAAAATCTAAAATTAAAAAAAGAAATTAAAAAAATTAAAATTTTTTAAAAAGTTAAAAATATAAAAATAAAAAAATGAAAGAAATAAAAACTAAAGAAGAAAAAAAGAAATGCAAAAAAGAATGAGAAAAAAATCAAAACGAGAAGGCAACAAAAAAACCAACAAAGAGGCCGGGAGAGAGAAGAAAAGAATAAAAACAGAAATGGAAAAATGTTAGAGTATCATCCCACATTGGAAGTTCAAGAGCAAAATAATTAGTATATAAGCTCTTGAGTTGAACTAAATAATTGATTTGATTCAATTTTTTAAAGCGGTTCAACCCAAGTGTCTTATTGCCCAATTCAGTAATCTCAACCCAATCCTAAATTCTACGGAGTATCAAAAAACATAAATAAATGCATGCGAAAAATAGGAGGGGGGGACGCACCTTCAAGGAGAGTGGGTATAGAGCAATGCTAGGGGTACGCCAAATGTGTACCCCATTTGTCCCCCACCCCCTTTTCTACCACATATTTTTATTTCATTTTTAATTATTTATTTATTTTTATGTTTTTTGCCCATTTATGTAGTTGAGGAGGGAGTGAGGGACAAATGGGGTACACCTTTGGTGTACCCCTAGCATTTTTCGTGGGTATATCATACACCCAAACGTAACGTGATAATTGTAAACTCAATTTAGACAAATAAGTCTTCTTTAAAAGCAGAACTGACATTCGTTACACAGAAAGTGAGCACTTTTTAAAAAGAAAATGAGTACAATGGGTTACAAACTAAAGAACACACACATGCACAAAAATAGAAGAGTTTCTTTAGAAAAATAATGAACATTTTACACACAAAAAATGTCACCGTAATAAGTATGGAGATATATAATTAAATTAAAATCAAAATCAAATTAGTACAAATATAATTTCTTTATATTCATTTGCAAAAAAATCAAATATTTATTTCATTTTTATCACTATGTAATTAAAGAAATTTTCAGTTTAACTCGAAAAATTAAAGTAGACGGTATGATTTGTAAATGGGTCTAGTGTATAACTTTTTTTAGAGTATTTAATGGGCATACAGCTCTTGCTGAGTTTGCAAGATACTACGTGCTCCCTCCGTCTCTAAATGAATTACAATTTTTTTTCTCTCTCCTCTCGATAACTTTTGTTTGTTTACGCGATTTCATTAAGTATTTGAGAAAATAAAATATTCTTGTCACCTCTTGTTTTGTAGAACTTTTCACGTAGTTTTTTAATATGTAATTTTCATATCTTATTGATATACCAATTTGTAAATAAAATAATTTTAAAAAGTAGGAAATTTTATTCCATAACCCGCAATTTATAATCAAATTGGGGACGGAGGGAGTATTATCTTATGTTGATTACCCCACAGCCCACGCCTTTTCTTATAGTACGTATAAATTAATAAAATTATGTTAAAAATCATGTAAGTATTAAATACTATTACCTCCGTGGCTCCGTTCCAAAGGATTCGTTCATTTTCATTTTTACACACCATCCAATACACTTCTTTAATCCATTTTATCTTGTAATTTGCATATTAAACAATTATAGAAATTATATATTAATAATCTATATGTTGAGACAAATCAAACAAGAACACATATGACTATATTTAGGCTTACACATTGAGAGAATTTGATGTGTCAAAGTGCTTAGATAAACAATTCCAAAAGTCAAAACTGGACGAATACTCCGGGATGAAGGGTGTACTCCCTTTCAGAGTATTTTTCAGTTTTGATTTTTTGATGTTAAAATTGATAAATTCTAACCATTAAATAAATAGAATGTACTAAGTATAAGAGTAATTGACATATACTCCCTCCGTCCCTGAGTGTTTGTCCACTTTCATTTTTGCACACCATCCAATCCACTTCTTTAATCTATTTTATCTTGTAATTTGTATATTAAAAAATTATAAAAATTATATATTAATTGGTCCGTCCCTGAGTGTTTGTCCACTTTTGACTTTTGGAACTGTTCATCTAAGCACTTTGACTCATCAAATTCTCTCAATGTGTAAGCCTAAAAATAGTCATGTGTGATCTTGTTTGATTCGGAACATATAGATTATTAATATATAATTTTTATAATTTTTTAATATACAAATTACAAGATAAAATGGATTAAAGAAGTGCATTGGATGATGTGCAAAAATGAAAGTGGACAAACACTCAGGGACGGAGGGAGTAATAATCTATATGTTAAGACGAGTCAAACAAGATCACACATGACTATTTTTTGGCTTACACATTGAGAGAATTTGATGAGTCAAAGTGCTTAGCTGAACAATTCCAAAAGTCAAAAGTGGACAAACACTCAGGAACGGACCAAGTATATAAGAATTGGATAGTCTCATTAGATTTAGTTTGTAAAATATTTTCAAAACTTTTTTTATCTAATTAATATGGAGTATAATATATAATTTTTATTTAGTTATAACTTAAAATTTAATTTAGATTGATTACAAAATACCATATTTGAACAAATACTTTTGAGATGAGAGGAGTATGTTAAAAAGGATAAGCATTGTGAATTGGTGAGTTGGCAGTTTGGCACATAGAGCACGCATCCTACTAGCTTAGTTATACCATTTCCACAAAGAGGGTACAATAGCATGTGGAGGAAGCTATATTTAGTAACCCTATTTTTCTTAGATCATCTACCATTATTGGATACTCCGTATATTGGAGATATACCGAGTATATGGTATCCATAGACCATAATAATTAAAGAGTATCTCATCATCATGGAATACTTCTAATATTTCGAAACTTAGTCTATCAGAATTAATTAAAAATAATTAATTAATTACTAAGAAGAATTCAAAGTTAATTATAAACATTCATCATTAAATTATAAAAATTATACCATTGTGTAGAATTCGAAAAGACAAATCTAATGGTGCAAACGGATTTGAATTCGAAACAATTTGACCTGAAAATCACATTTTGATAGAGGTACGTTAATTAACTTACGGAGGACGAAACTATAAATCCTATAATGTATAAACACCCCCTAATTAATAGCATTTCACACATATTGTAAAATAACAAAACACGTTTTATTGATTGAATGAGTAGAAGAGAAATACAAAGTATGTATTTATAGGTGGTGGAATATATTCTAGAATCTTCCACATTAATGACTAATTATATAAGGTAATATTATATAATAATAACTCTAACTATAATAGGTAACAACCATAATTATAATATATAATATTAAATATATTAAATATTTGATATATTTAACATGCTCCCAACGTCCTGAATGATGAAGATTGAATGCCAACCTTATTTGAATCGTGACCAGAATTATAATCAGAAGCTAGAGGCATATCTTCGGCTAGAGTAGATTGAATGCATCCGACCTAGAAGAGAAGAAGAAAGATTGCCAGAAAAGATATGTGAAGGTGCTGATGAGGAGAGGAGAAAAGCCGTTGTGAATAGACTCATGCGCTGTCGTCGAAAGAGGGAGAAGGTTGACACGCGCTAGAGTCGTGCGCGACTGGGTTAGAGAAGAAACACAAGGAATGAGGTACTGCCGAAGATGCATGTTGACTGAAGATCTACCCACTAGGCAGGTTGAGGTGATGATCTTGACACCAGTAGTTTGGTGGAGTTGGGGCGATTAGGAGAAGAGGATGGTGTTTGAGACGCCGATGACTATAACAGAGATTTTTTTGTATAATGGAAGAATTTATCCCCCGGGACAGATTTGCGCTGTCAATCTAAGAGGAGGACGGCGACAGTGGATGCTCAATTCGATCTCGGCCATCAATTTGAAGAAGAAGAGCAATTGCTCAGGGCGACACCGGTGGAAGATCTAGCGGCAGTAGGAATTGATTTAGACCTCCTTTTTTAAGTAATCGGACAACAAAAAGAACTAGAAAGCTTTGTAGTTTTAGGAGATGGTGAAGTATTTGGGTCAGAGGAAAACAGTGATCTGGCGGGCGGCGGTTAATGGCGGTGCCGCCCACCAGAAACGAAAGCGGAGAAATTTAGGTCACCAAGAACGATGGCTCTGATACCATGTAAAATAACAAAGCACGTTTTATTGATTGAATGAGTAGAAGAGAAATATAAAGTATGTATTTATAGGTGGAGGAATATATTCTAAAATCCTCCACATTAATGACTAATTATATAAGGTAATTGTCAAGGAACCAACTCAGCCAGAAG